GGCCTCAAGCATGCCCCATAAACTCATTTTAACGCCGCCAGCTTGCCCTCCGTCAACTCTTAGGCCTGCCAGCTTGCCCCCCGTCAACTCTTAGGCCTGCCAGCTTGCCCCCCGTCAACTCCTCTTAGACCTGCCAGCTTGCCCTCCATCAACTTTTAGGCCTGCCAGCTTGCCCCCCGTCAACTCTTAGGCCTGCCAGCCAGTTTGCCCCCCGTCAACTCCTCTTAGGCCTGCTAGCTTGCCCCCCGTCAACTCATCTTAGGCCTGCCAGCCAGCTTGCCCCCCGTCAACTCTCAGGCCTGCCAGCTTGCCCCCCGTCAACTCCTCTTAGGCCTGCCAGCTTGCCCCCCGTCAACTCCTCTTAGGCCTGCCAGCTTGCCCCCGTCAACTCTTAGGCCTGCCAGCTTGCCCCCGTCAGGCCTGATAGCTTGCCCCCCGTCAACTCCTCTTAGGCCTGCCAGCTTGCCCCCCGTCAACTTCTCTTAGGCCTGCCAGGTTGCCCCGTCATGGAGAATATCTCGTGTCTCCATCTCCCGCCATGGCTGTCAGTTTGCCCCATCAACCTTCCCGCCAGGGCCGCCAATTTGCCCCATCAACTTTCCCGCCAAAGCCACCAGTTTGTCAGTAACTCCTATCAAAATCGCTACGAGCTTGCACTGCCACGACAGCAATTTTGCCCGTCAATTTTCCTGACAGAGCCGTCAGGTTGCTCCATCTTTCCTGCCAGGGCGGCAAGCTTGCCCCGTCAAATCCAGCTTGCCCAGTCATTCTCTTGTCGAGGGCACCAGCTTGCCCCGTCTCTCCTGCCATGGGCACAAGCTTGTCCTGTCAACTCTTGCCAGGGTTTATATTGTCGCCAGCTTGCCCCTCCCGTCAGTTCCTCAACTTGCCAGAGCCGCCGCTCCCAGCTTGCCAGGGCCGCCAGCTTGCCCCCGTCAGTTCTCTTGTCAAGGCCGCAAGCTTGCTCCATCACCTCTTGCTAGGGCCGCCAGCTTAATTGTCCCGACAATTCTCCTGTCAAGGCCACTTTCCCCATTTCTCCCGCCAAGGCCGCCAGCTTGCACTGTCAACATTTACCAAGGCCCTAGATAATTACCCCGTTAACACTACTGACATTTTTTTGTCCCCTAAACTCCCCTTGACACTTGGGGGGGGGGGGTGTTATGTAGCTTCAGGACACCGATCCCCCTAACCACTGGGCATGGCGAGAAGGCACCCCTAAGCATACCTATTTCCCTATCAACACAAACTAAAATATCTAAAAAATGGTAGATGGCAATCTCAACCCACAACAGTTAAGATGACCCGTCATCTTTCCCGCCAGAGCCACCAGCTCGCCCTGTCAACTCTCCAGGCCACAGCTCAGCCTGCCAACACTTTGGCCATGTTCGCCAGCCTGCTCTACAAACTCTCC